CAGGGGGTATAGCAACTTGCCAGCTTATTAGCGGAATAAGGTTACGGCATTTTTTTTTTATTCTGTGAAAAACGAAAGATTCTGCTGGTCAGATTTAATAAAGTATAAATATGTCACAGATCGAATATATATTGTGGTGACATGAGGTGGACTGCAGAGTTAAAAGTGTTTTGTTGCGCAATCCTTGAAAGGACACTGGTAAAATAGCTTGTGAGAATGAACTTACTCACACAGAGGGGGGAGAAATATGGCCTTTTAAGGAGACAAAAGTGGATACAGGCAATAGAGACAAGCCATACTCTGAAAACCTTTTTTTTCTGGTTCGGCAGCTTAGAAAAACTTCATCATAAACATAAACATAATCTGAAAGAGATCAAAATAGATACAAACAAACAAACAGAATGCATATGAGCCTTTTCTTTATTCTGGCTTCCACCTATGTAACATTGCCATTCCAGTCTTTTTGGAAACTGCTAGAAATGCAGGTATATTCTCAAAAGGCACCAAGTGAGATCCAGCCCAGTACCAGTACCGGCTCCATGATGGTGGAAACAAGGAGCCCGTCTCTCTGCCAGCCTCCCTCCCTCCCCTCCGCCCTCTGTCCCTTCTGTGTCCCCAGGTGCCTCTCCCCATTCCCCACACCCCAGTCTCTAAAAGAGCATGTCCCTTTTCCAGGGAGACGTGGAGGAGGATGACACGGTGCCCGACAGCGAACAGGACATCAAGCCCCGCTTCCACAAGTCGCGCACCGTCACGCTGCAGCACGAGGGCGGCGGGGGTGGGGGTGGCGGCGGCGGCGAGGAGGGTGAGGATATTGACGAGGACGAGGACGATGACGATGACACGCTGTCCGACTGGAACCTCAGTGAGTGTCCCTGAGCGAGCGGGCGTTTCAGAAGAGGGGGTGCTGATGTGGAGGTCGTCTCGGAGAGGGCAGGCGTCCTCCCGTAAGGCCGCTCCGTTTTCATCTGGGGTCTCAAGGGGACCTGCTTTTTAATCACCATGGTGACGTGCTTGTCAATGGAAGATGGAGAAGCACTGGCAGGGGTCTCCCGAAAGCCCCACCTGAGCCAGGGGTGTTCCCCTGTCTCACAGAGAGTTCTGCCCCCCCGCAGGGAAGTGCTCAGCGGCTGCCCTGGACGTCCTGGCCAATGTGTTCCGGGAGGAGCTGCTGCCCCATTTGCTGCCTCTTCTCAAGGGGCTCCTCTTTCACCCCGACTGGGTCATCAAGGAGTCCGGCATCCTGGTGCTTGGGGCCATCGCAGAAGGTCAGGCTTGGCCCCGTGGCCTGTCTCTGTCACATCACGCGTTGCTCAGAATGGATCGCCACGTGGAATGACTTTTTTAGGATATGTGATCATGTTGGGCCCTGCTGTTGTACTGTTTAGCTGGGGTCTCCCCCAGTATTGCTGAGCAGCTGATAATGGAGATGGTGATAATGACCCCCCCCCCCGGGCTGCATGCAGGGCATGGTGCCGTTCCTGCCTGTAGGGTCACCCCACACTCTGCTCCTCTTTGCCAGGCTGCATGCAGGGCATGGTGCCCTACCTGCCCGAGCTCATCCCGCACCTCATCCAGTGCCTGTGTGATAAGAAGGCCCTGGTGCGCTCCATCGCCTGCTGGACCCTCAGCCGCTACGCCCACTGGGTGGTCAGCCAGCCGCCCGACTCCTACCTCAAGCCGCTCATGACGGAGCTGCTCAAGAGGATCCTGGACGGGAACAAGAGGGTGCAGGAGGCGGCTTGCAGGTCTGTGGACGTTCATCCGAGGGCCTCAGCACCTCCCCGGTGTTTGTCTGTTAAACACCCTCCTTGACCTAACCAGCAGACCTCATTTTAAGCTGCCTAACCTGGTTACTGGTTAACCATTTGTGAACGCATGGTGTGTCAATTAGCATTTTTGCCGAGATGTCCGGCTCACGGTGGGCCGCCTTCCACCCCTCCCCCCCAGCGCGTTCGCCACCTTGGAGGAGGAGGCCTGCACCGAGCTGGTCCCCTACCTCAGCTTTATCCTGGACACGCTGGTCTTTGCCTTCGGGAAGTACCAGCACAAGAACCTGCTCATCCTGTATGACGCCATCGGCACGCTCGCCGACTCCGTGGGCCACCACCTGAACCAAGCGGTGAGTCGCCCGCTGAGCATGCTGGGAAGGTGCCCTGCCTGTCCACAGCTGGAGTCTGAAATATTATTGGTGTGGGTGTTTGTTTAGCGAACACTTTCACTGTTAATTATCGGTCTTAGCTGGGCTATTGAAATGTTGCGTTTTCTTGAGATCTTAGTCATTCCAAAAGCTGGCTGTATCAGATTTACTTTAAAACTGAAGTGTCACATTTTTTCCCGTGTTTTAAAAAACTCCCAGTTCCTCCCACGTCATGCTGCATTGCATGTCATGTAATGTCATGGAGCATTACTCGTCAAGTAGTCTTACTCATGGTGTTATGTAGCGTTGCTCATCAGGTAGCATTACTTTTCATGTGGCGTTACACGCTATGTAGGATTACTCGGTGTAGTGTTGCTTGTCATGTTGTTACTTATTGAGTTGGGTTACTCATGTAACATCACGTAGCATTGATCATCATGTAGCATTACTCTGCGTAGGGTTATGTAGCATTGATCATCATGTAGCATTACTCTGCGTAGGGTTATGTAGCATTGATCATCATGTAGCATTACTCTGCGTAGGGTTATG